GGTTCACAGCAAGTAAACAGCGCTGTCCCCAGATGAGAGCATTCTCCAGGCTTTTCCTGCTTCCGCCTGGGGGAACTGCTCCTCTGTGCCAGGCCCTTCCCTGGCGCTTGCCTTCAGGGCCTCCCTCTTTCTGACTTCAGGCAGGACGAGGGACTGTGTTTTTGCATTCCTTGAGCTTTCCCAGTGCCTCAACCAATGAGTTTTCAGAGGAGGTCCTCAGTCAGGGAGCCTGCCAGAGCTGGGTGCCAGTGCCAGGCCAGCTTATTAAATTCACAGCTAAGGTTGGTCACCCCCATAGGCACATTTTACACCATGACAGAGATCATTCACGATCACTCCACAGGTAAGCAGTACGGAAATTCCAAGCAGTCTGTTTCTTGCATTGTAGAAGTTCCAATACACTTGGGCTTGCATTTACTGTTATCTTTAAAATAACTTGCCAAGAAGGTCTTGTTAAAATAGATTTAATTTTTTTTTTTTTTTTGAATACAGAATCTTGCCCTGTTGCCCAGGCTGGAGTGCAGTGGTGCCATCTTGGCTCACTGCAGCCTCCACCTCCTGGGTACAAGCCATTCTCCTGCCTCAACCGCCCAAGTAGCTGGGACTACAGGTGCACGCCACCATGCCCGGCTAATTTTTGTATTTTTAGTAGAGACGGGTTTCACCATGTTGGCCAAGATGGTCTCAATCTCCTGACCTCGTGATCCACCCATCTCAGCCTCCCGAAGTGCTGGGATTACAGGTGTGAGCCACCGCGCCCGGCCAATAGATTTAAATTTTTAAAGGAGGTATGAGAGATCTTCAACCCTTCACCTCCCCATCTCCTCCTATAACTGAGTAGAAGAGAAAGCCTAAGGCAGGGAGGGGATCTGTTGAAGGACTTGGTATAATACCCCGGAATGGGGCTTGACTCTCCTCACTACGAGGCCAGGGCCTATATCATTTTAGTTTTTCTCTTCTTTTTTTAAAAAAGTTAAATAGGCATATGTGAAAAAGCAGCAAGTTCCTGCTCTGCTCCATCTGCCCAAGTCCTTCCAGGGCCACCAGTGTCTTTTCATCGTTTGGGGATGTTTTTTGTGTTTTTGTTTTTAGTGGACAACAGAAGTACTTTTATGAGGATTTAGTTATTAATAACAGCAGCAGTAATAAAATATGTATTCCAAAACATCAAAATAGTAACAAATAAGGTTTTGTCTCGAAGAATATGATGTTCTTTTCCCCAAAGTTGATGTAGATTCTACTAGATCTCTTCTGATCATTTCCACAAATTCACGATATCAGTGATTGAAAATCAACTGGCCAAAATTTCATCCTGAAATATTCAGGCTTCATTTAAACATTTAAAGAATAAGATGGAAATGTTACATTCTTTTTTGAAAAAGGCAAGAAATAGAAAAATGGATAGATTAACAGACTGATCAGTTGATTTACTGATCAGTTAATAGATAAGTACATTACACCCTTAAATAGGTTGGTTCTTTTTCTTTCATACATTGTCTGTTTTCATTTAAAAAAACTACAATTATAAAGATGTTCATTACAGTACTTTTTAGGATCATTAAAAATGGTAGGTAACCAAACTGTCTCAAGGACTAGTTAAGGAGATTCACCAACTCAATCCAACATGAGACATTAAGGATGACCTTAGGAAGCCTGCGGAGCTCTGCTGGAAACACATTACCATGTAAATGCAAGATACAGAATGTGATTATGCTGTCATTGCAGTCAGGAAGGAATTATGTCTGGAATGAAAAAGGGCAGCCGCTTCAGCTGGGCAGCCATCGCTCTCTTTTTGACTGTCTATAAAATTATCATAGTATTAGATGGGGAAATACTTTTAAATTGGAGAAGGAGCGAGAGTTGTTCAGCAGTAGCAGTCCTCCATGGGACTGTTCAAATTAGAAACCTGGCAAAGAGATTTTGGAGAGGAATATGGGGACTTGGATGTTGTCATTAACACTTACTGAGGAACAACAACAAAATCACTGAAAATTCTAAGTGGAAACTGTAGCTCAGACCAAACTGAGCCTCTTTGTTTTAAAATAGTGAACTGTCTGATACACAGATTGACTCATTTTTAAACACATAGTGTTACTGGAATAGGAAAACAAGTGTGATAAAAATCTACATTCCTGAGAGTGTGGGAAAACAGGCACGCTCCACTTTGCTTCTAAACCATATGGTAATATCAGTCAGAATCACAAATGCACATACTCTTTGACCCAGCCATGCTAATTACAGGAATTGTTAATGTAACTATACGCACACACATACA